ATCCTCAGACTCCTACAGTACTCTAGGACGAAACTCCTTAGCTGTGGTCAGGAACCTGTCCGTCTCCTGATCCCCTCTTGGTCACTTATTTCTAAGGAAGGAATCTGGCCAGAGATGAAGAAGGTAGCAATGCCCAGTGATCCTCCTTTGCCACAGTCAGGACTGTGCCTGTACATGCTGCAAGGCCATGAGTCAGCAGTAGTTTTCTGTGTTCTTCAGTGGGGCTAAGTGGGCAAGCTTCCCCAGTCCAGGGGCCAGCAGAAGAGAAGAACAAGATTTGGTGCTTGCCCAATCTCCCAGGTCACAAGAACAACACCATAACACATGATGCCTGATGTAACCTCATGGCTAAAAGCCCAGTTTCTACCAGTTTGGATTCTTAGATATTCTGCAGAGGGCTCTAATGTGGTTCAGCAGTCATCTCTGGGCTGTAGTTAGTCATTTTTAGGAAGGCCTAACCTCTTTCTTACATAGATTTATTCTACAAGATTGCCACCTCATCCTAGGAGCTGTAGCAGGCAGCAAAAGAGGAGGTTGGTAACAAGAAACCATGTGTGCATGTGCGCACGTGTGTGTGTGTGTGTGTGTGTGTGTATGTGTGTGTGTATATATATATGTGTGTGTGTGTACGTGTGTGTGTGTGGTCAAAAGAGACCTGAACCCATAAAAGGCTAGAGGAAGGACCATCTTCATGAGAAGCGTCCTTGAGCACATGCCCAGCTGCCTGCTAGCTTCAAACCCTGTGATCTGTTTCAAGGTGGAAAAGAAAAAATCACCATTTCAGCAGAATTTGGATAGAATTAGACAGAGTGTATATAAACTTTCTAACCACTGTCTTGTTTAGTTTTACTGAGTAGCTTCCAGTTTTTGGAATTCAGATTCCTTTTTTACAAGTGATGTAAATGTCAAATGAAATCACAGTGAAGACTCAGAACAGAACGTATCAAGCATTCACTGACTTCAGCTTTCTTCTCAGTCCTCACAGACCACCAGGGTTAGTAGTCCCTTACCAAAGCCACAAACATGCAAAGGAGTCAGTTGCCTTGGCGAAGGTCATTAAGCCATTAAGAGACAGATTTTATATATTCAAGTTAGGGTAACTTGGAGGTTAAGGACATAAATCCCCATAAGGTTGTGAGCTCCACTTGTTGGAGGCAATTAGGGCAGTTATGAATACAAGGTGGTTTATTGCATGTAAAACACTTAGAAATACTGGGTTATAGGTCTCACTCTTAACCCATAGGTCTAGATGTGTGGGCTTTCCACAGGCAGCTTCCTTTACATGCAGCTGAGATGGGACTGTCCAATGTTCAATAGTTAATATTATTTTTTTTCCCTCAGGATCTTTTCCTTCCCTACATTAACATTTGTACCCTTATAATTAAAGATTAATCTAAAAGTTTTGTACATTTGTGCTTATTCTAACTTAAAATATGGTCCAGAAAATTTTAATTTAAAAATGATTGTTGTTATAAGTGTGTGAGTGCATGAGGGAGCAAGTGCATGTGCATGTATGCATGTGTGCATGCGTGGTGTGCATGTGTGTGTGTGTGCATGCGTGTGTGTGTGTGCATGCGTGCCTGACTGAAAACAGGAGTGATCATGCTTTGGCATACGTGCAGAAATCAAAGCATTACTCTCAGGGGTAAGGAGTCAGTTCTTCCCTTCCACTGTGGGTTCCCGGATTGAATGTAGGTTGGCAGGACTGCATGTCAATCACCTTTACCCACTAGGCCATCTTGTTAGCTGTAAACATAGCAAAGAGTTGTTATGACTATTGAAAATCAGCCAAGAAACAATAAATCGACAAACAGTAAGGCTCTCTGGATGACTTTGTCCAGGAATTTTCCCAAGTTGGATTAAGATAAGGTATGGGTATGATAAGAAGTTTTGGTAACTTAGCCAGCAAAAAGGCCAGTCCTGTATGTGCTTGGCAATCTGAACTCAAATAGTCCCTCTTCATGTTTGGGGTGTTCTTTGAAGATGTGTAGTGATACCAGTTGTTCCCCGCTGCTGCCGCGGCCTTGCTCTTTGCAAACCTGTTCTTCTGCAGTCAGTTAGGATGAGGTGACATCTCTCCTTGGGTCACATGCCTTCTGTAACTTCTGCTCACTCTCATGGAAAGTTTTTTGAGAAAATGTAAGGGTATGCACAAACAGTCGTCAGGCTTCTTCTAGTCCGAGCATATCCTTTTTTTCCCAACAATCTCGTATCAGCCTGGGCTCCTTCTTAGTTTTTGTATCGTCCTGATTCTTTTTTTCAGCTGATGTCTCAGAGACCAAGAGTAAGATTGTAGGAGGATGGGTGTGGAGACCCGATCCAGTCTATGGATGCCCAACTAATGAGCAAGGCAAAAAGGTGGTTTTCTAGTTTCCACTCAGGTCTTGGGGTTATTTGCAGTTTTCAAAGAAGTAGTTTAACCATCTGGATTCTAATAGCTAGGAAGCCTCAGACATAGGTTTGTCCAAAGATGGTCCACAGGAGGAAATTCCACGAGTGACGTAGTACCTAGCAAACCTGAGTTTGAGTTCTGGCAGCAAATCAGTACTACAAAGCAGAGATCTTGAGAAACAAGTGGGCCTGAAGCAGAGTGGTCCTGCTGTTTCTCCCTCTCTCTTCCTAGTACCTCATTTCCCCATCCCTAAGGAGGACAGCCAGGGAGGCCTGGCACAGGGCTGCAGCAGAGCAGAGAAGACAGAAAGCCAGACATCCCATGTTCTAAGTCCCCTTCCTACCTTTCAATGAGTGAGGTTACCTGGTAAGTTACATTTCCCACTAAAGGTTTAGTTTCTGTTGTTACAAAGCTCAGAAAATCGTACAAGTAGCTACATTTATTCATGGAATCATTTCTGTTGAGAATACCGTGGACCTGACACCATTCTGAGGACTAGAGGATGCAAGACAGAATCAAAGCTCCTGGTGGCAAGAAGCTAATCTCTGTGTTGAGGAGGAAAGCAAAAACAAGAGATTGGTGGATTACATTAAAAAACACATAAAAAGCAGAATAGCTTTTGGCGAGTGTTGAATACCATTAAGGGTGATTCATTCATTTATTTATTTATTTATTTATTTATTTCTTGGTTATTTAAAGTCAGATAAACTACTGAGTTCATCATTCCAAATGCGGTTTATTTCCCAAACTGATTTCTCTACTTCCAAACTCATGAGCTTTTCTAAATGCTTTAGAAACTTCCACAGTTTATATCTTGAAGTATGGGGGTCTCAGAAACAGTCGAGGGTGTCTTTACATTGCTCATTTGATGTTCTGATAGTGAACTGTGAGAACAGAACTCGTTCCTTACTCGGATGCATATTCTATGGCATTGAACACAGCAAATTAGCAATAAAATTTTTAGAAAGGAGACCAGGGTGGGAGTGATTTTGTATTTACTGTTGTGTTTTCTGAAGGGAGGCGTCGGCCTTAATGCGGCTATTGGGTGGAATTCAGAGGAAGGAGACAGAGAAATTCACTTGTCTGAACTTCTTCCGTTCTGCAGGAGAGGGCGACATCAATCTCCCCAGGCTTCTTAATTGTTCTTGGAAGGAATGAAGGCTCATTCCTGAGGCCTTCCAGTGATGACAACTTAAAGTTGTCATAAGCAGGACAGCTTAATGGTCAGCAGGGTGGTTGCAGAGTCTCTGCCAGGGCCCCAGCCGTGGGGGACCCTCCTGACGCCCCACTCATCTGACAGGCAGCTGGGAGCCATCTTCCCTCCAGTCTGGCACCAAAGCAGACAATCTCTGGAGAAAACATTTGCTTAAGAATTTGGGGGTAAATTGAATGCTAACCTGGACTCACCTCAGCATCTGCTGTGGGTCCCTTCGTCTCTTGGGGACGAGCAATTTGAATGTTCCTCAGCTACATACATCCTTCCTAAAGCGTTTTCTAGATGAACAAGAAAAGACACACTGATGTGGAGATCCTGCATTCCTGGACATTTCTATTCTTCACAATTATTTTAATAACGAGAGTTATTCCCTTAAAAAAAAAAACAACTTTAGGGGCTGGAGAAATGGCTCAGCGGTTAAGAGCACTGATTGCTCTTTCAGAGGACCCGGGTTCAATTCCCAGCACCCACATGGAAGCTCACAACTGTCTGACAATCCAGTTCCAGGGGATCTGACACCTTCACACCAATGTACATAAAATAAAGATAAATAAATCATAGAAAATTAAAAAAAAAAACTTTACCAGGTGTGGTGGTACATGCCTTTGCGCCCTTAATCCCAACACTCAGGAGGCATAGGCAGGTGGATCTCTGTGAGTTCGAGGCCAACCTGGTCTACAGCGTGTGTTTAATCCTCTCCCCCCAACATACACATACTAAAAAAATTCTTCAAGAAAATCCACAGGCATAAGACAGTTGCTTCTGCATTGGTGTATGTGTGTTTGTGTGTGTGTGTATGTGTGTGTGTGTGTATGTGTGTATGACTGATGCGACTGTCTGTTACAATGATATCATTGTAAAAAAAGTAAACTGTTAAAGTCCTTATTTGATCAAATCATTAAAAAAGAAAAATGATAATTGTTGGCCTGGTTGTGATATTGGGTTTTCTATAGGTAAAAATGGACCCAAGACAGCAGACAACAAAAAGCAAACACCCCACAAAAGTCCTAAAGCTACAATTTTAAATGTACTCATATCAAATAACCACCCCTCCATAAATAAATACACAGCAATTGCATTTCAAAGCACTTTTAAAAAATCTCTCCAAATATGTCCTCAAGAATTAATTTTTAGTTGGTTGATTTGGTGTTAGTTTGTCTAGTGAACTGGAATTTGATCCCCATTTGAAGCAATTAATTTGAAAAGTGACCACACACTACCCACCCCCTCCCCAACCTCCCCACCGCATATGCTAAGTAGAGAGCCACAGTTGTTGTTGTTGGTGGTTTGTTTCATTGGTTATCCCCAGCCCTCTTTATCTTGCCCTCTTTGAGGTATTTGAAGCTTTTTGCCTTTGCTTGTTAAGTGAATGACCTACCTGTCTCTTTGCAGGACAGCGACAACCTCTGGTGGGATGCCTTTGCCACGGAATTTTTCGAAGATGATGCCACATTAACTCTTTCATTTTGTTTGGAAGATGGACCAAAGCGATACAGTAAGGAAGAAGTTTATTTTCTTAATATTCCCTTATTTTCGTGACTGTACGAGAACCACGGGGGTCCGAGGATGACACCCTGATCTGACACCTTGACAATAACACCCCTGCCCCGACAATGTGCCTGCTTCCCTCCAAGGCACTGCTACTGAGTAGCAGCCCAACTCAGCACTGTAATGTTTTCATCTGAGGCTTAGTCTGTTTGGTCACTTGCTGATTTAGAGAGTGGAACGGAGATACACCAAACTGCCCAGTAAGTGGGCAGCAGAAGGATGCGGGTTGGGCATGTGTCTTGTCTGCGATTCCCTTTTATCCCTTAGGGTTCATGCTTCTGCTTGTGAAAATTTCCTTTAAAAAAAAAAAAAAACCCTCACCATCACAGGACCAGCCCCATCCTCTAATCCCTGCTTATCTGTGATCTCAAGTATTTATTTGACAAGTGCTATCTTTTCTCGCGCACAGGGGAAGCCACAGCTGCTTTGAACATACAGTTTGGGATTAGTGTTGACAGAATTATAGTTCCTTGTCTTTCTGGCGAGTGATAACTCTGTAAAGATCCCCAAATTACAGCCGGTGGCACCTTGGGTAACAGCTGATCTGTCCTGATTAGGTTCAGCCAACTTGTCAGTCATCAGATTTGCTGGTTGTACTATCAGACCAGGAACCGTAGATACATCAACACAAAAGCAATTAATGTCCACTCAGATCAGAGAGAGACATGCTTTCAGAATCAGCCTTACTCACAGGAAAGGACCTGTTAGGGGGAAAGTGGCCCCATGTCACAAACCCAGATGATGATGATGATGATGATGATGATGATGATGATGATGATGACGATGATGACGATGATGATGGGATTCATGCAACATGAAGCAGTCTGTTCAGAACAATTGACAGGCAATAGGCTCGTGATAAACATGGTTCAGAACACTGATATTGGCTGAATAAGCTCAAAAGTCACGAGGGAATAATGCATCTTCGTTTTTAATATATGGATGCTTTAGAGAATCTCGTACTATCTGGATCTATCGTGTGATAAATTAACTTATCATGCTAACATATACATGTAGTGACTTTGTGGGTCAGGAAAGGAGAGTCTTCCATGAAGGGTTTGTTATCCCGTGGTAACTTGTTCTAGGGGGTTTCTATTTAGGATGTTTGGTGTTGTGGACTTATTTGAATGAAAGGATTGGTATGCCAGCCAATGGTCGAAGTGTTTGATGCCAGCACTGGAATTCCCACTTCATAGCACTGCTGCCTGTCCCCTGTGAGTGCCCCAAGCCACCACAGGCCCTAGAGAAGCATTGCAGAAGCTGTGGGGAACTGAATGAGCTCAGCCGTGCAGCAACTCTTCCTTCTGCTGCCCGGTCAATGGTGACTGATTTTTACCCAAGCAGGCACCGCCCTCTGAGCTGACCTGTTTATTCATTCAGTTATCTGTTTATTTTCTGAGGCAGAGCTCAGATAATTTCAAGTTAACACTATTTTACTATTCTGGACATTGCCAGTTGGAGAATCCTTAGGGGCCCACTCAAAGAACTAGAATTGCCGTGTTAAGCCTGCACCTACGAAACAGATTCTTGCTCTTCCCTCTGTGCACCCTGTTCCCAGGTATCATGCCAGGTGAGGCAGAATCTGTGCTCCTGAAAAGTCTGTGTCCATGCACAGGAGGAAATGCTTGACTGTGAACCATCATTGCCCAGGTTTCTTTGTTTCTCTGAGCCAAAATATTTCCCGAGTGGAGAAGAGAAACAAGGATGATTGACGGGCTGGAGCCGAGTCTCATCAGCAGACTCGCTGACAGCCTGGTGATGTACGCACCCGGCTGATGTGTGGAGCGGTGACAGCTGATTGACAGCCCAGGACTGGGATACAGAGAAGATGAAACTTGCCTAGAACATCTGAAATGCTGTTTATGTGGTGCTCCCGCGCACTGCCGTCTTAGCCCCTTGTGGATGCAGGCACGATATGCCAGACTGGGAAGATGGCTGTCCCTGAGCTAAAAGCTGAGGGTTTTTCCTTCGATGACTGGCAGAGAACAGAATTTTTTGCATTTCTGATAGGAAAATAAGACTTACCTAATAGATTTTTTTTATTTGTAGGAAAATTTCCCCAATTATCCATGCTAAACAGTAAGAAATATCCCTAGGTGATTTATAATCTTTCCTAGAATAGCATATTCCCATCCTCGTCTGTGCTGTTAGAGGATCCTTGCAGTTATGAATATCCTATCCATGAGTTATCCCAGGCCCCGAATCTGTGTTTGCTTATTTACATTTTGTTTGCTCCCTCTTTTCTAATGCTAACTCCAGGTAGAAGTTTTGCTGAGATCTGAGTTCTCAGGTTGCAGCAAGAATGTGCATGCTGTAGCCGGTGTGTAGTAATATTCTGAGTGAGTGAACAAGTAGACAGACATTTAGGGAAATGTTTAGCTCATCAAGTGGAACGGGTGGCCTAACGCGCCTGGACCCAGCTCTCTCAACTTTTTAGTGCCGGGTGAATTTGATCCGTAGTCATTGCTCTGCTGTCATTTTCAAATGCTCTAGGATGTACTGAGATCTACTCTAATAGAAATGAAAAAAAAAATAGCAGTGTAACAACTCTGGCAAGTGATTGTGCTTTGGATGGCACAGTTTTGTTTTGTGACATCATCGCACAGACTCTAAGCTGGCTTTGTACTCCTTCGAAAGATGTGGGTGACTGCATCCATCTTCTGGGTTCTGGGATTCCAAGTCTGCCCTACCAAATCTATCTCATGTGGTGCTGAAGACCAAATCTGAGGTTTCAGACACTTTCCCACCTAAGCTCCATCCTCTATCCCAGCCCCAAGATTCCTTTCCATTTTGTAAAGAAAGAATACATGAAAGTCAATCTTGGAGGGGGTTGGGTGTTGGTGAGATGAGGGGGTAAGGAGGCGAGAGGTGGCAGGTAAAAGGGTGTGTCTGCTAATTACAAAGTCACTTGGCCAGTTCACTCTCTATTTTCTCCTCTGTCTCTGTCTCTCATACACACACACACACACACACACACACACACTGTCCCTACATTGTCCCATAATTAAGGGAAAAGAAATGACTTCATCAATATGCCAATTTTGGGTAACAGATATAAGGATCACAAGTAATTATAATGCTTTTATTCAAAATAGAGGACCCAGGAAGTCAGTGATACATATCCTTAAAGCTCCCTTCATGCCAGCTCTGTGACTCTAATCCAGTGTTTTGTGTTCTTAGTCTCTTCTCTAGGCAGTGCAGAGACAACTCCGTGAGTTAGGTTGACCACCCACTGCTCAAAGCATCTTGCTTTTCTTTGCTCCTCTTAGGCATGTAGCAAAACTGTGTTGTCTGCTCTGTTTTCTCAGGACTGTCACGAACATCTAACAGACATACTCTGGGAGCTTTCTCAGCAGACCTAACCAGTGCCAGCTACATTCTTAGGAAACATGTATATGGCTCAGAATTCATCTGGGAAACATTTTCTGGGGAGTGATTCTGGAGAGAGATACAGAGGACCATGTGTTGTACACATAGAACCTGTGTTTTCCAGGGGAAAGAGTGACCATAATACTACCATTCTGCGTTCTGCCAGATGAAGTGACACCAGCAAAGCACCTAGGATGATCTGTAGCACACTCACCAGTGTCTATTATTACTGACAACAATGAACTGCCTTAGCTTCACCATGCCTTTTGGCCATTCTGTACTGCGGAGGTAGCGAGTCCAGAGGGTTTAATTAATCCGGTTAAAGTTGGGGAGGGGTGAAATAAATGAGAAATGCCATCCTGTTGGCCTTCTTCGTAGGAAAAGAAACTTTTAGGTTGATCCCTGAACTCAACCCAGCTTTATGGTTTGGAAGAAGTCATTTTGGAAGCATCAGTAACTTCCACAGGAAGTGGAAGTTTAGTGAGATGAAACATCAAAAGTTCTTAGCAGCGTTTCAAGCCCTGTGAAAATGTTTCATGAGCCTTAGCCATTGCGAGTAGACCAAAAACCAATGAGCCTATTACTCCCTCTAGATCAAAACCCAGGACATTTTGGGCAAACTTTTGGTTGTTCCTTTAACTAGTCTGTGTAATTTTAGGTCTCAACTGAGGTTGTCCATTATACAGAGCTTATCTTATCCTGATTTCACATCTGGTCTAAAAAATGAAGATTTGTGGAAGACTATCCACCTTCAAGGTCACAACCAAACACTAATCTTTAGCTGTTTGGTGGAAATTTCACTTCTCAAATAAATTAAAATTAAATGAATGAATAAGACAAAACAATTTAGGAACGCCACAGCCACTGCTACCGTTATTCTCCGTACTCCCCAGTTCTCATTAGGTGGCCTGAAGGATTGCAAATTGGTCCCTCTGTGAAGCAATCACCACACACCCTACCTTTTTTTTTTTTTAACCCCCATCTATTTTTTTCTGAAAGCTCTGATGTATTCACAGTATTGACTAAGTTCTTAAGGCTTGGCTTAAAATGTGTTTGTATGTGTTATGTATTCAGACATGTTCCCCTAAGCTATCAAAATTCTCTCAGTCCAAGTAACCTTGCTCTCTCTCCTCACTGCTACTGATTCCCCTCAGCAACCCTTACATGTATTGTGGCTGTAGTACAGGAATTCTAAAACCATTTCCTTCCTGTTTCTCTCTGTCTGTCTCCTCTCCCCTTCATGCCCCCTTTCTCTCTCATAGAATACTGTATGATTAAAAGTATATTTCTGGGAAAATCCCTCCTTGATAGCATGCATAAGGTATTTGAACAGCACACGTGGTAATTACTGTGGCAGGGGTGGGGCCATGCTTTAAAGACTCCTGAAGTAGTAGGCTCTGCAGCTTACTGGGTGAGGGCCATTCAAGGCCAGACTCTGTGTATGTGTCTTTTCTGTGACAAGTATTTCCACAGTGTCCTCCTGAAACCTGGAAGAATACAGTTTCATGTGCCCAGTGACCATAGTTCCTGAGCTACCTCGGGAGACACATAACAGTTGGTCTTGAGGATTTGGTCCTT